CCGCCATCTTGTTTTATATAACCAAATGTGTTTACATTTTCATCCATTTTCATCCATTTTCTTTTCATTATAATAACACATTTTAGATAATACATGGTGGAATACGTATTGGTAAATTTTCTTGCGTCAAACATGGTCCCGAAAAATTACGCAAAAGTGTGAACTTGAGGGATAATAATACTCTGATACAGATTTTTAACTGTATGACCCCATAGCTTCCTCTTCATAAATATACAAAGCTCTGTGTTAAGGGCCAATTTCAAAAGTTTCTTTTGTTTTATCAATATTAACACACAGTGTCAAATATTATATCAAATATTGTTGGAATATGAAAACTTGAAGATATAATGCATTGAAATAAGTAGGTTTGAATAAGTATTATGCGTTCAATTTATTTTTTATAACCCAAAACAATAAAGAAAAAAATTTTTTGTTTTTGGCCCAAATAAATAATAATAAAAATAAACCCCAGTGGAGGCCCATTAATCAATCCAACAAAATACAAGCCCCAGTTTTGTTTTTTCCCAGTAAAACAACAATAAGGCAAAGCCCAAAATTGTTGGGCTTGGCCAGTAAATAATAAATAAGAATTTTCAGCCCCCATCTTGTTTTCTTGAACCCATTAAACACAAAAGTACAACCCCATCTTTTGTGTCTTCCAAATTAATAATAGAAACAACCCAGTTTTGTGCTGCCAGTAAAATCAAAATAAAAAACCAAGCCCAGTCTTGTGTTTTTTTCTTCCCCCCGTAAATTTTTTAAATTTTAAATAAAAATACCCAACCCCAGTCTTTTGTGTTCTAGTCCAGTTTAACAATTAAAACAAAACAAACCCCAGCTTTTTTGTTTTTGTCCAGTTAATAAATCAATCAGAATTTTAAGCCCCCGCTTGTTGTTTTTGGCCAGTAAACCCAATAATCAGAATACAAAACCCCCCCCTTTTTTGTTTTAGGGGCCCAGTAAATAAGTCAATCAGAATACACCCCAACTTGTGTTTCTAAGGGGCCATAAAAATCAAAAATTCTTGGGAAAAATTTAAAAAACAAACCCCAGTCTTTGGGGTTCTTTAGGTCTTTTAAAAAGGGGTTTAAAAACCCAATAAAAAAAATTCAACCCACCTTCCCCGTCTTTAAAAAAGTTTTTGGGGTTTTCTAAAAGGGGTTAGTTTAAAAAAAAACTCATCAGAATTCACACCCATCTTATTGTTCTAGGCCCCGTAAATTAATTAATGGTACAGCCCAGACCAAATATTTAATTACCTTTATGAAATTTTTAATTATATATAACATTTATACCAGTTTGTTCAGGTTGTATTTTAAATGAATAATTAAAATACATAAATATTATTATTCTTATATAAAAAAATCCTGTAGAAAATAACCATATATTATTGTTTAACTTACAGAACTATACTTTACAGACATCTGGATATTGTAAATTTAATAGTGTTTTTTCTAAATATTGTTAGATGATCTAATTTGCATATTTATTACATATTAAGAATTTAATTAAAGGAAATTCATATCACAAAATATTTCCAAATGAAATATTGTAACAATTTTCTATTTAAATTGTAAATTTGTACAGCAAGTACTGGGTGATCCCATGAGCACTTTGTTAGCCAAAAATGTTTCAAAACACCACAGATAATGCGTTTGAAACAAACTGTATTACAACTGAAAAACTACTGAAGAACACCTGTTTTATTTATATTTTAAAAATCATTTTTAACTTAAAGTTGTCTTTAATACCTTAGTAACGCATACATCTTTTTTGTATAAAATAAGATTAAACAGTACTCCTTTTGCCTTTTGGCTGTCATTTAGAATATCAAATAACTGACTAATTTACAACTGAGGTACAATTTAACTAGGTTTATCACATAAAACAGGATATATCTTAATTAAATATTAGTTACATACATGACATGCTCCAAATTCTTTTTTAAATCTTAACCTGTTGGGAGCCTGTGCCACATCCATGCAGTCTGACAAGCTTTACACTGTTGGCAGATATACTTTATTTTCATCTCCCCTAAATTGGATCATTTCTAAAATGGAAGCTGTGGACAAGTCCATTTAAGAAACTCTACAGGTTAAAAGTTAAAGGTTCTGCCCTTTGTATACCATATAATGTAAATCTGGGACACCTTCATTTGTGCTTATTCGTTGTACAGTCAATGATACATCATTTGTGGTGCATACCGGTATTTAATTTTGCAGTCTTGATATTCCAATTAGCACAAATAATGTTCTCTGTCATATTCACACATTACAAACAAAAGAATGAAAGCCCCACCTTGATATGGATGGACAAAGCCTCTAAAAATGACAAATTACCCCTTGATATTTAGATAAAAGCCTCTAAAAATGACAAATTACCCCTTGATATTTCGATAAAAGCCTCTAAAAATGACAAATACCCCTTGATATGTAAACTTTGAAAAGCCTCTAAAAGAAACCAATTGTCCCTTGATATTAAGAGGAAAGCCTCTAAAAATGACAAATTGCCCCTTGATATGTTAACTTTGAAAAGCCTCTATAAATGAAAAATTGTCCCTGAATATTTAGAGAAAAGCCTCTAAAAATGACAAAATGCCAATTGATATTTCGAGAAAAGCCTCTAAAAATGATAAATTGCCCATTGATATATGGACAAACACATTTAAAAATGATAAATTGCCCAAAGCCAATCAATAGCAAAAAAAATTGCAAAAAGTTATATACACATGTATATATATATATATATATATATATATATTAATAATTATGAGAATCATGTAAACAACTTTATAATTTAAAGATGTGAAAATTTTATGGAAAAGGTCACCTTTAAATTTGTTGTTTTTTTTTTACAACAAAAAACAAACAAAACATTGAACTCCAATTCCATCAAAACTTCCAAACAGCTTGAATAATTTAGTTATGTAAGCAACTTTTAGAAGATCAAAGCTAAGTATACAGGACAAAATCTTCTTTTGTATAAAGTAACAACCCTTCACCTGTTTAATATGTATCAAGGAATTTAAACAGTTACTTTGATATCGTCATTTGATAGAATAAGGTATTTAACCCATATCCTGTTGGAACCAAACTTGAATAGCCCTTTAAATTGCCACCAGTACATAGCCAGCAGCCAGGGCAGCCTATATATCCATGCAGTCTGACCAGGCTCTATACTGTTGGTAGCTCATTTTTTGTGTTTTTATATTGAAATTCCTTAAAGGGACTCCACTCAGGCTATTTTGACATGGTATTTTTACATTGACATGGAAACATTTCTGGCCAAAGGTCGTCTTAAATCAGTGATCATTTTAAATTACAAACTGAAATCTAGAAATCTCATTGGCCATTCAAAAATAAAATCTGAAGAGTAGTTCTTGCCATATGTATATTCTATAAGTATTGAAAACTTCGAAGTCTTTTTTAAAGATATTTCTTGTCAAGATTTTTGTACCAATTTTGATTTACATCTGCCCCATTAACTTGTGCTCATTTGCTCCCTATGTTTCTCAAGAGTGATCAGTTTTTATTGTGCAAAATGAAAATGACCCAAAATTGTAAAGCATTTGAACACTTCTAACTCAAATACAGCCAAGAATTGCACTAAAAATTGATTTTCAATTTAATTCCAACTATATTTCTTTTCTAGCATTTGCATATAGTTCCATTTTAAGTATATCAGTAATCTGTTGATCTATATAAAAAAAAATTAAATTTTATGTTTTTAGGGTTTTGGGTTTCAGTGGATCTCCTTTAAACCACACATTGACTAAATAGGGCAAATTCATTATACAAAATTCAGCAGGTTATGGGTTTCATTAAAAAGTCCTAAGTGTATCCTATTATTCCTAGGACTTACGACTACTTATGGCACTAATTTAAGACTGTTTCAATAAATATTTTCATCTTCAGTAAAAGTTTAAGACTTTAATTTAATTAATTCTTCTGTGAAAAGTTACAAAATACAACGGCATGGCCTTTCATCCACAAAGTGTAAATATTCATCTTCATCACTATTCAGAAAGCTGAAGAGTCTTAACATAATAGTCATAAGTTAGGACATTTACTTTGAAATAAAAAATTTTCTCAGTTTTGGTCTTTATATATAAGATATATTTTAGACTTAACGCAACCCTGGTAACCAACAATTATCTTTATTCTATTGACTTTATGAAATGAATTTGCCCTGTGTTGACTTTGGATCGGTACATTCAGACGTTTCAAAATTCAGACGTTTCAAGGGATTTCAAAATCAAAATATAAAAGCTTGCTACCAATTGTATAGTCTGGTCAAGCTGTGTGGACATTCAGACTGGCCCGTCTCTATACTGGTGACAAAGACTTATCATTTGTGCAGCAAACCCGGCACTTATAGACTGATGGAGTTATTAGTTAATCTGTTGTTTATTATATGGAAACAAAGGGTAACCTTACCCATTAAGTAACAATTTATAACATTGTTAAATAGTATCTTTCTGTAAAATTACACGATAAAGTATAATTATTTGAGCCGCGCCATGACAAAACCAACATAATGGGTTTGCGACCAGCATGGATCCAGACCAGCCTGCGCATCTGCGCAGTCTGATCAGGATCCATGCTGTTCGCTATCAGTTTCTCAACTTGTTATAGGGTTTGTAAGCGAACAGCATGGATCCTGATCAGACTGCACGGATGCGCAAGCTGGTCTGGATCCATGCTGGTAGCAGATGCACTATGTTGTTTTTGTCATGACGCGGCTCATTTATGACAATGCCATGACAAAACCAACATAATGGGTTTGCGACCAGCATGGATCCAGACCAGCCTGCGCATCCGTGCAGTCTGATCAGGATCCATGCTGTTCGCTATCAGTTTCTCTACTTGTTATAGGGTTTGTAAGCGAACAGCATGGATCCTGATCAGACTGCGTGGATGCGCAGACTGGTCTGGATCCATGCTGGTCGCAGACGCACTATGTTGTTTTTGTCATGACGCGGCTCATTTATATACATGTACCTAGACTGTATTTTCTCCCATCTCCACCCATAGCCGTTCGTTGATGAGAATTTACAGTAAGCTCTAGTGGACCACCAGGTGGCGTTAGTGGAGACTTCATTGAATGGTGCATCATGGGTAGAGAGTTATGATGCGAGATCGTTACACCAGGTTGTGGGCTGCCCAACATTGGATGACCTTGACCTTCCATCAAAGGGAGATTACTCCTCTGTCCTCCAAGACCAAGTAGTTTAGAGTCTGGATGCATCTGTAATACATGGAAAAAATTTACATTTTTTTTTTTTTTCTAGAAGCACACAAAAAAGTTAGGTCAAGATTAATCTATGAAATTGTAATTTCTATTATATTAAAATGGAATCTTTATAATATGATTTTACTGCCAAGAATTATTCTATGAAATCACAGTCCAATACAGTTGTTTTTCCCATGACACATATTCACAAGTTTTGTTTTTATTTTCATCCATGAAAAATTTATATTTTATCAAAATTACAAAATTTTACATACAAAATATTATTTCAATACTAAGCATCTTCAAATTAAATTACATCAAAAGAACTCATGAATAGGTAAATATTTCATACTTATATCTTTCAATGAGTTTAAAAGTTAAAGCACAAAGATTATATCAAGTCTTTTACACTAATATAATTATATTTATGCACTTAAACATTTTTTTCTTAAGACAATTACATGTACCGGGTATCTAAACACTAACATATTCTTAGACATCTACATGAATTTAAACTTATTACAAATAATTTTTTAAACTACCAAATTATCATGTAATTTAACTATCACTAATATGAAAAAATAAGAACATGTATGTATCACTACATTTAGCCAGGATATATGAGGACATCTTTATTTCACTTCCTATATCATACTTGTCTATTTTTATTGGTTGAATCATTCAGACATTTTGTAGGTCATATTGCAGTTTTCCAGCTTTCCAGGTGGTGGATAAGACTTGCCAGGTGCCCTTCTGTGCAATATTTCAGGCACCTACCTAACTAGAACACCAAAGCTACCTGAATATCATCTTAATACGTAATAATCCAAAACACCTGGTGGGTTTCAAACCTACAGCAGTGAGGCACAAGAGGTTCACAGTAAGAGACCTAATGAACCACTGAGCCATACTGACAGTATAAACTTATAAACTGATATTATGAACTTATAAACTGATATTATGAACTTATAAACTGATATCATGATCTTGTAAACTTATATCATGAGCTTGCAAACTGATATCATGAACTTATAAACTGATATCATGAACTTATAAACTGATATTATGAAATTATACAAACAAGAGTGAAATTAAAACTTATTTGATGTATCTAAAGTCTTACATGGCTAAACCTTTTACTTTTCCCTTTCATGGCAATACTGACCTGAGGAGTCTCGGGTCAATATATTGCACTTGTCAAACAATATCATTTAGGCACAATAAAATATTGAATACATTGCAACAAGTACACAACATTTATAAAAGTTTTTTTTAGATAGAATTTCACTTGTTAACCTTATCAATTCAAGATTTTAAGAGCATAATTTCCTGCGAAATAAAAGAATAAAAAAATAACTGTAATAAATTGTTCACATGATTTTTTTTCTAAGAAAATAAAAAAATCAACAATTTTTTTTTTTATAAAGATTTTCAAACAGTAAAGTTATGTGTTTACGTGTGAAATAAAACTAAAGTGACATGTTTAATGAGAAAATTTGCATATTTTTACATCATTACGCTATCAAGATTGTATATCATAATGAGATATGTCCGACATATTAATGAATTCAAATATACTTCTTGCAAGAAATACCTGCAAACTTTTACGAGGTTGTCACTTTTTTCACCAAATTTGACATTGTGTATTTTTTTGTTTATTTTTTTTTTTTTCAAATTGGTGGTTTAAATTTTTTTGTTAATCTTTAAAAGTCTTAAAAAAGTCTCAAATATCCAGCAGTCTGTACTAATTAAAGAATAGGTAACACCGACATTATCTTGTTTGAGGAAAATTGAGAAATTTAAATCTTAATAGTATCATTTCAACAATGGATATATGTAAAATTGCAAAATTACAAGTTAATTTCAGGTATTTTAATATTAAATATTAAAACTGTACAATTAAATATTAAAACTGTGCAGACAGACAATGGTATTTAAAGTGTGACAGTACATTATGTTAAATTGTCTATAATATGTACATTTGTGCAGTTTGACAGACTGCAGGCACTAATTTATTGATACACTCGCTGACAGATTCAAATACTAGTCAGTTACGAGGACATGTTGTTAATTCTATAGGACAAGGACCTTATTAATCCCCAAGCCTGCTACCTATACACATCCATGCCATCTAATCATAGTCTGCATTGTTCCCTATTTATTTTGTAAATTTTCTTAAACAAGAAACAAGTCTATTTAAGATATTTAAACCAGTAACCAATATTTTGAAATTGTCTATATAACTAGAAATTTGTATGGTGACTATCAAGCTATATTCCCGAGGGAGGAAATACATAATTACTGTGGAGGGAGAGGATACATGTCACCCATAATTACTGTGGGGATGATACATACAGCCCCTCATGATTACTGTTGAGTGGGAGAGAGACAATACATGCCCCTCATAATTACTGTAGAGTAGACAATACATGTCCCTCATAATTACCGTAGAGTAGACAATACATGCCCCTCATAATTACCGTAGAGTAGACAATACATGTCCCTCATAATTACCGTAGAGTAGACAATACATGCCCCTCATAATTACCGTAGAGTAGACAATACATGTCCCTCATAATTACCGTAGAGTAGACAATACATGCCCCTCATAATTACCGTAGAGTAGACAATACATGTCCCTCATAATTACTGTAGAGTAGACAATACATGCCCCTCATAATTACTGTAGAGTAAACAATACATGCCCCTCATAATTACTGTAGATTAGACAATACATGCCCCTCATAATAACATTGGGGGGAGGGAAACACTACATGTCCCTCATAATTACTGTGGAGGGAGATAATATATGCCCTCATAATTACTGTGGGGGGAGCAATACATGTCCTTCATGATTACTGTGGAGGGAAATGATATACATGTCCCTCTTGATAACTTTGGAGGGAGACAATACATGTCCTTTGGCACAAGAGGGAACCAACCTCCGTAAGATGGCTTGAAATTTTGAATCAGTAACTTCAAATATAGTCAAACCTGTCTGTTAACTGGCAAATGCAAAAATAAGAGACAAAATTTTTTCTCTCGCAATAAAAATAAAAAATGCAGGTTTTTGACTGATAACAATTGAAATATAAGTATATAAAGGGAGGTAATGAAGATGCAATTTTTATTTGGATAATATAGGCTTTTTGTTTGCTAATTTTTTTGCAAATGACAAAATTAAATTGATATCAAACAGATTTTATGTACTAAAATAATACTATTTGAAAACAATTATATCTACTTTAAATACATAAAAATAGTGCACGTCAAATTTAAATTAGCAAAAAAATATGACCTGTTATATAATACAGAGACAGTTATCTATGGCAAACAAATGAAAACTGCATAAAGTAATTTTTTGCCATGTTTAATTAAGGAAAAACTTGTCATCATTAACCATAAATTTACAATAATTAAATGGAAACAAAAGCAGAAATACACCTATCATTACATTATGTTAATGAGTTATCCGTTATCGTATAATGACAGCAACCGGTGGAACGAAGCTGATTAGACAATACTTTATTGTTTGAACCAACGCTTATTTTTTTATTTAACCATTTAACCCTTAACCCTTGCTGAATATTTTAAATGGACTTGTCCCACTTCCATTTTTGGAACTGTCCATTATCAATTTTAGGGATATCAATTTGAATATTTAAAGTTAAATGTCAGCCAACAGTATAGAGCCTGGGTCTGACTGCATGGATGTGCAGGCTGGCCTGGCTATCTACTGGTGGCAAAGGCTTAACGCTTTTGGTTCCAGCACTTAATGGGTCAAGTCCTGCTATATTTCTATAATGGATCTGTCCAGCTTTGAATTTGAAGCAGTCCATTCAAAAGTAAAGGGATTTCAATATCAAAATACAAAAATTGAGCTGCCAACAATATAGAGCCTGGTCAGACTGCAAGATTGTACAGGCTTGCCTGGCTAAAGGCTTCCACCAGGTTAAGGGTTAACCTTTCAACCCTTATTTCGAAAAATATCTTAAATGGACTGGTCTATCATTATAACTGAATAATACCATTAATCATTTTTAGTGAAAATTTTGAAAAAAAAATGTACAGACTGAATAACAAACAGTTTAGACCATGAGCTGTCGTGACCTTATCTAATGGTCTGTTGTAAGTCACATGGATAGCTGCAGGGTAATGTTTAACCTGCTCAAGTTTTTTTAAAGACTTGTCGAGCTTCCATTTTAGGGACTGTCCATTATCAATTTTGGGGATGCTTCCATTTAAGGGACTGTCCATTATCAATTTTGGGGATGCTTCCATTTTAGGGACTGTCCATTATCAATTTTGAGGATATAAACAACAAACAATATCTACAAATGTTTCTAAAATTCAAATTCATGATAAATGTTTAATACCGCTTAAGCTGGTGCTAGGGGGCATGGGTGTCAGCTTGCAATTTCCCATACCATTCATGAACAGGCTCAATCAAACTGAGCCTGCAACATTTTCAATTTTGCCATTTTGGACTTTATTTCGAGATTCCATTTCACTATATTTTGAGTTTGGTTTGTGAACTATTTTATGGTAGCAAATGGCAAAGGTTCATCACTGTCAGATCCAGTTATCTTGATATAACGAATGTCTTTCAGGGTATATGGCTACAACACACTGTGGTAAACTGGGCGTCGTACGTTTTTGGTCAATTTTGGCCCATCAACAAAAAAAAAAATACAAATTTTGGTATATCAAAATTAAACTATATTTATAACAGATGAAGCAAGATTTAGTCAGATATCTTTTAGAAAAAAAAAAGTTATAATAAATCAAAACAACCTATCAAGAAAACAAAATACTACAGCTTGACATCATCAACATGAAACTCTTTTTTGGTATCAAAATGCTCGAATTATGAGCAACACGGTACATAATTGATGCTTGCCTTAATTTGTAAATGATTACATTGCTTTCGCAACAGAAGGTACAAAAATTACAAGAAGGCACCAACGCAATTCTTCAATAATAGCATTTTGTCCTTAAGAAATCTAAACAATCAA